GTCTTGGGGGCTTGGGGTCGGACATGCACTGCGGTACCTCAGAGGCCTCCCCTGCACGGACATGCGTCTACCTTGCACATCCACCAAAATTTCTCGATTGACAAAGGATGAGGCGTTCAGTTAACGGGAGAAAAAAAACGTTTAATAAGGTGAAGTTGCGCCGAAAATAAAATAGAAGAACGTTAGCGTCGCAGGCGTCGATGTCGCCAAAACAGCAGGATCGAGCGCTGAGGAAAAACTGACTTTGGCTCGCCACGCGAAACCCCTTATGTGCGCGCGTAGGCTTCTGGAATGTTCAGCGGAGAAGGTTCGACGCATGCCAAAATTGGACCTAGAATAATAATTAAGGTTGTGTGGATATTTATACAGCGTGTAATTGGTCAGCCATTTCATATTTGCTTCGAGTCACTCACTATGGATGAGCTAGAATAAACAACAATGTTCTAAATTCACCAGAACAGTAAATGGAAAGAACAAATAAAAGACGCGTAACTCCCAGAAATCGAACCCTAAGCCTCCGCATGAAAGTCAAGCGCGGTAACCAGTCGGCCACGCACGCACTAGCTTGCCGAGTCGCGTGGCAATTTATTTACAGTTCAGAATTTTAGTATTAAAGTGCAATTCCGCTTCATTTTGTTTTTGAAAAAAGAAGAATGCACTCCTTTTTAACATCACCTTGGAAGACCACACGTCAAATTTCGTGACCAAGTTTTGTCTAAATATTTCTTAAATGGTCCGGCAAACTTTGCAACGCGCTAAGTTACCTAAATGGGCTGACTCTAGCATACGAAAAGAAGCGACACCAACAGCGCAGTCAAGGCTACGGTGTTGACGTGGCCAACATTGAGTAAAACGTCATCATCATAGCCCCTTTCTGTTTATTTTACTTCTACTGGCAAGCGTAACGGGGGATGTTGGCAACATTTCCTCTCGGCGCTCAACGGTGTCTACGCGATCGGCGTAACGCACCTGCACAGCGCGCTTCTTGGGAGCCGTCCGGCCGTCCTGCCGTAGCTGCCGTCGTCGTCTCACCGTTTGTGATTATTGTTATCTGTGTTTCCTTCACACTACGTGCACAGACGGATATCGCAGTTGAGCAGATGCAGTGGAATATCATAAACTTCAGAAGGTGAACAGTGTAGTGCAGAGGACGCTTGCGCCTGGCGCACGTCCGCCCCAACGATGACCAGCCCACCCGTCGTTGCGTAGTGGATCACGTGACATGACTTACTACGTGATGCCATGTTTTTGGCGGCCCGAGGCCAATGTTGCCTGACGGATGCGAATTTTATGGTTTTGATTTCTGTTCATGTTGGAAGAAAGATTTAGCAATATGTATATATATATATATTCAATTTTTCGCGAAGCAAATGACGTAGCGCCTTTTATTAATGATTTTTATTGGGAAATCACTCATGCCAAAATTTGGGGAATTGAGTGGAGTTAGGTAGAATCGACGAACAAAATAGCCTTTATTTTCCTGTTTGATAAATTTTTGTTCCTGGAAACATCTACCCTCCAAGTGACGCGCAGTGATAGCGCTAGAAGCTTTCGAGCTTCCCTCGGCGTAGCTTTCTACATTTTACACCTTGGGGAAGTCGCGGTTTTGACTGCATTCATATTGATCGAGAAGCGACTTATCTGTACTTCAACCAACGCTTCCAGCAGAGTGAATAACTTCTGTACAGAAATTAATTAAATAAAACATTTGCAGCCGCACGCGTGCAGCACAAATGGAAAAACAAATACTACGATAGAAAAACTGGCTACGGCCTGCTGTGCGGGGAAGCGAACACATTGCTTGGATGCGCAGTGAAGCGTTTTTTTTTAAATTTCATTTAAAACAATTACGACATGAGTGTTTACTTCTTACAACAAGAGCCATCCCCTGAGCCGTTCAAATATTTTCAAATGTATGACATTACCGCAAAAATATCAACATGCTGGGAATATCATCCTCTGCTCAGGTGCTCACCGAGAAAATCCTTACCTGCAAAACGAAGGATATAAAAGTCTGCAGCACTAAGCTCGGAAATAGTAATCGGGTTAGTGTGCTGTTGAATTCATCTTTAAAAAGCAATAGCTCCGAAAACGTAGACAAGGACGAAGAAGTGAACGAACAAAAGTCGCTGTCGAAACTATCGTTTATTGGGAAAAAACATTCTTGCATTCACGAAGGCATACTTACATTTAAAGGACAAGGTTACCCACAATACATTTTGTATCCTTGACGAGGAATTGGAAATTAACAGCCGGTTCCTCACTTTTTTGACCTTGCCTGTTTTTTCGGTGCTATCACTTTTTAAAGGCTATTAATCACCAACCAGCCCACCTAACCCCTTTGCTCTCGAATTGGTTTTTGCATGTGCGGCGTTTGTGTATACTTTCGTTGTATATGTTCGCCTGATGCTTGTGGTACGCGTAGTGTACCTCCATGTGTTTATCATGAAAGTGCAGAATCGCAATCAACGAGGTAGAAGGACTTAGAGCGATAAATTGGCAGCTGAAAGTGACCCCCCATTGACCACCGCTATGATGCACATTTTTGACCTCTAGACATGTGACCTTATAGTTTTACGTCTAGATTTTAACGAAGTGCCATGCACTATTAGTTGCTTATTGATTTTTGATAGCAATACCGACGAGATAAGTTATGTTTTGTTTGTTTTAAGTGCAAATGCGCATTTACAACAAAAACTCGTACAGCTTCGCAATGTCTCCGATAGATGCCGTCAGACCCTGTGCTGTATTTTGGGTTTCTATCGCAGTTAGTTAATGATCTCTGGAGCTAGGAGTATTGAGAGAAAAAAGATAGTTTATCGTGTTCTTTACAGTGATCGCCATACGAATCTTGGCTTAGTTTGGCGTGCAAGTCTCAGGAATTGGTACAGTCACGAGTCTAGTGGTCAAATTGCACAACATGGCGGCAGGAAAGTGGGGGTCACGTTTATCGCCCTAAGCGCCTCTACCTCGTTCATCGCATTGGTGACGCGAACAAACAAGTCTTTTTGTAGCACATGATTTGGGTGGTAACCGGCGCCACCTAGCCTAGCCACTTGCAATTACTCTGCTGAAACCTGTTATCTGCTGGCGAAAGATTTAATCTTCTTTGCCGCTTCGCGACGGGAGATTTTCTAGTTACCGTACAACAATCGTTCAAGTAGGCTGCTTCGAATTTGTTCTTTTAAAAGCGACTCTTGGTTTTGCGAATGGTTTATCACTCCTCCATGACGTGCGGTGCTTAGGAAGGAATTGTGGCTCGCGGAATAGCAAAGTTGAGACGTAAATTGCGGGAAGTAACTGGGTATCGTACTAAACTACAAATAGCGCTAAGACAAGGAATGACGAAAAAGTCGACAGGACAGGCGCTATCTCACAACTCATGGTTTTATATACGGCGGTATCGTTGTATATATTACTACATAATACAACAATATTATTGTATATGAAACCGTCAGTTGTGAGTTCGCGCTTGTCCTGTCTTTGTCTCAGCGCTATTTGTAATTTAATATGTATAGCGAACTAGCCCGCCAAAGTAAATTGATAACTGGGTATCAGCAGTCTTCGTTTAACATCCCAGTGCTGAGGACGAGAAGACTCAGTGACAGCTCTTGAAGGGCAAGTTTCTTTACCAACGGGTGAAGCTTGGCTTCGGAAATAAATAGAGTCCGCGGAAAGCTCGTGTTGCACTTTTATTTGCTGCTCCACTCGCCCCGTACGCTTTATTGAGTTCTATTATCTCGATTTGGGGCCGCCATAATGACATGCAGGCGACAAAGGAAGTTCGCTCCTCAGCTTTCTGGGACGAGAGTTTTTTTCTTTTATTAGTAAACATAAGTGTCAAGAGCGTTTCTCCCTTTAGGGAGGACTTTTAGACCCATTTTTCGAAGAGCGTACCCTGCACGGGGTTTGCTTTGCTCGCTTTGTGTCGATTTCGGCACCAAAAGGCATCTTTACCTTTAATAGACAAGGTTACTCACGAAACGTTCTGTATCCTTGACGAGGGATTGGAGTTTAGCAACCGACTCCTCGTCTCAGGTTTCAAGATCTGTTGGCCTTCTAAGCGGCGTGCCTACCGCATGCTAGCCAAGCACGGTCCCAGATGTCGTGGCAACGCAGATTCGTCTTTTCTGGCGTTTTTTTTTTTTTTTTTTTTTTGGATTGTGGCATCGAGCTATGACTTCTTATGAAAGCGCTTCTCTCCGCTTCGCCTTTCGACCCCACCTTTGTTTGTTTGCCTGGCTCCTGAGGCTCGCGTGATACAATTCACACTTAGTGAGTAATTTCGCTTGTTGTGCAATCGTCTCGGTATTTTGTGTTGTTCAGCGCATCCAGTGACTAGGAAGACGCCCTAGTGTTGGGCAACTGACTGCAAAGCTTTGATTTGGCACATTTCGGTGAAATAAATTACACCGCCGGTCGCGGCCGTCGATTGCCACCTGTCGTTTTCACTAATGAATCTGCGCATTATTCTTGAATCAAGGATGCTCGCCTCTGACTCTCCCGGGGATCTAAGGAAAAACAAATGAAAGACCTATTAAAAGAGTAACTATTATTAGCCACTTCTGGAGGGTCTGAAGTCGAAACATATCAAGAAATTAACATTTTGAGTAAAGTGTGGTGCCATACCTGAAGAGATTCCGCCTCAATTATTACATCCCCGGCTTCCATGACACAAACGAACTTGGTACTGCATAGAATATTTTTAAGTAAACCATATACGTTTTTCTCTGTCCAAGAAATTAAATAAACATACGTCAATATTATAAATAAATCAGTTAAACAGAACGATACCCCTCTAAATAGTGGACTATGACTTTTTTTCGTTATCCGTTAACTTTAAATAAAGAAAATCATGAACAGATTCCTGGACAAAAAGAATCCCAGTGTTAATGTTTTGCTTAGTTGCTATGCGCCGCAGTATGTACATCGAAAGAAGTGCTCGTGTCTATTTTGGTCACTCACAATGCCCTTAGTCTTAACACAATTATTGTTTTTAGGTGAATCCTACACTGGCCAGGCCTGCAGGTATTACAGGTTTTCTGTGGGTCGAGACGTCCCAGGTACCTTTTCAGGAGTCAAGACTCTGTGTCACGAACTGGGTCATTCGTAAGTGTGCCCTTGCTGGGTCAAATTCGCATAGGGAGTTCTGAAATTCATGAGCAGGTACTAAGGTTTGAAGGCGGGTTTCAGAAATCAGAGCTAAAATTCTTATGAAATTTGAAACATACAGAAATATCATATAATCTCAAAACAACCTTCACTCAACAGAAGTTGTGTTCTGTGCATATGTTTATAGACGCTGAAGTTAGTCTACCTCAGCGGGGGACTTGTCTATGAGCTATGGATGGGCAATTTGGCCAGTTAAGTACGAACCGCTAGCCTGGGGTCTTTAATGTGCACCACGCAGTTGCGATAGACGACCGCGCGCCGGTGCAACGCTCATCCAGATTGAAATGGGCAGGGATGGGATTGAACCCAGGATGTCAGGGTTTTGCAGCGCGAGCTTTCGTTCTACGTACGCCGACCTGGTGTGCGCTAGCCCACTTGCCCACCGATTCCCCACTCAAGGGTAGTAACCAGCGTGAGAATCACAATATATATTTCTTGCCGAAGGCACAGCGCTTTACTGCCGAATTCACGGAACGTCCCATTTATTCGAGTGACATTTCAATGTGCCAAATCTTTTCATCCTAATAGCTTTGGGTTCATTTAGCCTTGTTAATTGGCGTTTAATGTTTGTGGTTAGCGTGTCTATAGTTTAGTGTCAATGTTCTTCGCCACTTTGCTCTGATTAGGAAGCTCAATTTATTTCCTTCTTTCATCTTCTAGGCTTGTCCTCGACTCTTTATGTATTCTGGACGTTTGTTTTCACTTTGATAATATTGTCTTTAAATTGGAGGGGTGGGGACCGGGGAGGGGGGGGAGGTGGTGATAATCATCCCGCAGATATAATCTTCACGGCGTGCCTTTTAGAAGGTGGGAAAAGGTATGTCTACCTCTCTTCGTCTTCATCGATGATTTTGCCATTATTGAAGCGCGAGTGCCAATGAAAACATTCCGCACGATTCGCTGCTTGTCACATAAGATTGCTGAATCATGCAAAGGTGTCTGTTTTAGATTTGCTGAGTTTGACGCATAATCAATATTTGTTCTCGCACTGTGTTTGTTTACTGTGAAATCGCTAATGTGCTTGTGAAAGCAATCACAATAACTTATGTAGTGCAGCTCTAAATGTTCAGTGAACACCGCCCTTTTGGCATAATAACACACGACCTACAAAACAACCTCCGAAGTTTTTTGACCGCACCTCGTACGTGGTAGGCACGGGAAGTATACAAGCGATTATGCCACAAATAATTTAAACAGAAAATGAACAACTTAACCGAACCCAAAAGTTGACATTTAAATGGTTACACACTAATGTTACGGGGTTGCGCAGACTAGTTTAATGAAAAAAAAATAAGAGTAAACAAGGCAGAAAGAGAAACATGTGACATAGTAAAGGAACGTCTGTTAGATACTCCATATGGAATCGTCTTAGTGCATTGCGCGAGAATGGTTCTATTAAAGACAAACAGATAGCACATATTCAAAATGCAGACATATATATCTCGTATTTCCTAGTGACAGGAAGACACTAAAATATCGGTTTTGAAGTGCATTCAGCGTTTTTCCTCCCCCCCCCCCCCCCCCCCCTCCCCCGGAAAGGATAACTGATTTGGGTGGAGCGCTGTGTTGGCGAGTACGGAAGAAGGGGAAACATTGGACTGCAATCACAAACAAGGATGTTTGTAGATTCAGGGAGGTCTTGAGACGTGTAATATTGCAGGCAATTAGTTTGGTACATGATTTAACGGAACGACGATATTTGTAACAAAATTGAATGCAGAGGAATGTAAATGTGAATGCCTTGGCTAGGTGGCGGAAGCTACCGCCGGATATAAGAAAAGGGTATAGCCAATACTGTCCACGGTCGAACCATTCGTTCGTCCTGTAATAGAGGAGATACGTTTGGTGGAAGTGCTCTTGCCGTCTTCATAACGGCTCGTATGAAAGAAGCGGATTGGAAAGGACATCGCTGAACAGAGGCGGCTGCCCACTGAGGCTGCGCTCCGCGTATATCAGACGCCGGAAACGAGACAACGGCCTTTCAGCAACAGAGTAGCGAGGTGCATTCGTTCTGCTACGACCGAGACCTCAGTAAAGGAACGAGGTTTGTCACTATTTAATCTGACGAATAGAGCTTTCCCACAAGGAAACTTGCAATGCTGTCTCATTTCGATGTATTGTCTGCTGCGAAGCACAGCAGAAGCACATACTTTTTTTTTTTTTTATCATACCTGTACACAAATGTCTACCGTGTATCATAGAAAACGTCATTTCTAATGTATATTCTTATTACTTAGTGTTTTTTTTTTATTATTTGTCTGTTTGCACGAATGATATGTGTAATCTACTGCAGGTTAGGTCTCGTTCATGATGGGGAGTCGGCTGCGGTAGAAGAACAAGGCCATCCCGGAGCCGAGGCGTGTCCGGCAAGCAATCCTTATATAATGTGTGGACTGCGGGACTGCGGCGTTGAGCACGACCGTTTTTCCGCTTGTGCTGCCTCTCAGATCAAGTGGTTCCTGGCGTACGCATGTTTTAAATTTGCTCCACGTTGCATATATTGCCTTCATTCTAGAATGCTATCGTGTACGTAGCTGGCAATAACATACGGCAACCGCCGTGGCGTTGTGTGCTTCGCGACTAGCACACGACCGACTGGCGGTGTAATCACTAACAAAAAAAACAAAAAAACAAAAAAAAACAATCAATCCCCGAGAATATTCACGAAATTTCATTCCTCCGGGAGAACACGTGGCGCTGTGAGTACGAAAGGCCACCGTTCGTGTGTTCTAAACTTCGTTTCACTCCAAGCCTGACTCCAGCTAACGCTAGGAATCGATTGATCGTAAAAGCGTTTGTAATCTTTAAAAGTTTACTGTCGTCGGCTAGACCGGTAACCCCTCGAAAGCAAAGCGCAGAATCACAGCGCATTCGCTGCGCTTGATTGGAGTGAGCAAACGTGAAAAGGCGCCAACTGCAGTCACAATGCAGTTTTGGCGGCGCCCGATTCGCTCCGTCGGATGGTAGGTTTGGCTGCGGTCCAGATTAACGTGAACCGGAGTATAGACTGCTGTGTAAGAGGGCGCGTTAAGTCCGTGTTCCTTAACTCCTACTCCGAGCGCAGAAACTAAACCGCTAAACGGCCCCTGGCGTTCAGGAGCGCGACACACCGTAACCATCCAGGAGCCGCACGAGCACCTTTCGACTACACGGTTACGATGAAACCGGCATCTCGTGGATACGGGTGACAGAAGCCGAAATTACTTTGGATGCAAATTAATTAGGCCTGCGTGGAGCGGCAGAACGTAAAGTAAAAAAAAAAAAAAAAGAGGGCGTCCTTGTGAAGTTTTTACGAAGGTTTTGATAATCCGGAAATATTTGAAGGCTTGGTTTTGAGCACATATGTGGAAAGTTACCTCGGCTGATATATTTATTGACCATGATCATGCTTATTGACTCTTCAGATTTAAATTAAAGTCAACATTCTTGAACCCACTTGTGGACGGACAAAGCCCTCAATCTTGTCAGATATTTCGTGCTTCCGTCTTGTAGCACCTGCCAGAAGCCAGCGATGTGCTACGCCTACACCGGCACGCCGTCGTTCAATAGATAGCACGCCAATTCGTATTCAGGCGAGATGCACGAACATGATTTTTCGGCATTCCAATCGAAGTACCTGGATTAGCTGTGCTAAACATTCTTAAAGGGCAACGGTCCGACTGCCTTCTCGACAACTTTTCTGTCGCCGAGCGATCTGCACGATCCTTCGATAGATCGATTCGTCTTTAGGAAGGACGCATGAAAAAACCCTTTCTTCCACGCTAATTAATAGTTCGGCTTTTCACTCGAAGTATCGTTTTTCGCCGAGCTAAGCATTAAAAAAGAGGCAGCGGTCCGATTGTCTCCTCATCTCGACAGCTTTCCTGTCGCTGTGCCATCGGCACGCAATCGTTTGATAGATGAATTCGTTTTCAGGCGATATGCACGAACAAACCTTCTCCGGAACGCTACTTGCTGTCTTGGCTTTCAAATGAAATCGTTTTTACTTGCTGGAACAAGCACTAATCAACTGAAAAGGAGAAGCAGTTCGACAACGCCTTTCGTCTCGACGGTCTCAACAACAGCGCAGCCATCTTGTTTGTTTACGTAACGTCATGGAGTGCGAAGAAGCCACTCGCACTCTGATATATACTCGGTGCACGAAGAGCGCGCTCGATCGTCAGTCTTTGGCGGCACTCCTGGCTGTTTAGTGAAAGAAGCGCCAAATTCTCGCGCTTCGGAGCACGGAATTAACGCGCCCAGAGACAGTACTTTGCGTCCACCAAGAGACTTACCTGTGTGAGCGCCCTGATGTGATGCCTGTAAGGGCTGCATCGAGTAACGTACACCTCTAGGCATTATGGTGTTCTGGTCGCCTTCAAAAGCCGTATCTAGTACTTCACGAAACAAATTGCTCGGGAAGTTCACGCTCTCTGCAGTAGATCCCACGCACGCAGGAAAAAAAATGTCCCGCCGTAATTGACAATTTAACGTTAAATGTTAAATAAAAAGAATGACTTTTAAAAAAATCTGTAATGCGAAATTAGAGCGTAGTTCTCGAGGAGGAAGGGAGGGTACGGAAGGGAGGGTATTGCCCTCCTCCTTCTTCCGTACTCTCTCCTCCTCCTCCTCCAATCCTCCTCCTCTTCAGTTTCCTCTCAAAATTTAACGGGTAAAATGATGTCACACGACTTGGTGTCACCTCACCCATGAATAAAATCACTTTTTCCGCTAGATTTAGCAAGAAACTTGACGTCACGTGACCTCAACAGCAAGTGAAGTCCCTTCAAAATTTAGCGGTGAATTAAATTGGTGTTTAGGTCAGGTGACGTCAATTTTCCCGCTAAATCCAATAGAGAAACTGAATTTGTCCTCTAAATATAGCGGATAAATGGAATTCCGCCGCTAAATTTAGAGGGGAATTGAAGTGCTGTTGAGGTCACGTAGCGGGGCATTGAATTGGTGTTGAGGGCACGTGATGTCGATTTCCCGCTAAATTTTGGTGCGGTTACGCAGATGCCGACACCGACGCCGCGAAACACGAAAATGGGCGCGTAAGAGCTGCGCTTTAAAATAGAACAAGAAAGCTAGCTCCTAGGACGCCTTATGCCCCATCGTTTCCGTCTAACCTGATTCCCCACCCAGGATGTCAACCATTGTGTAATATATATATATATATATATATATATAAATCTAGGGTGAGGAAACGCAGCGCGAAGAACACTGATACGCGATCGATCAAACGAAGTTCTATGAAGTCCTTTCGTTGGTTTTAAATCGACGCGGCCAGGAATATATGATTTTATCGACTTCTCGACGGTTTTTGTTAAGGCTTCGTACTCAAGGTGTTAACAAAACTGAAAGCAATTCAAAGAAATAATATGCTAATAAACTGGATTACGGACTACCCGAGTTCTCGCCAACAGGCTGTCACTATCGGTGAATTAACTTACGAACCTGCTTTCGTTGGCTCTGGAGTGCCGCAGAAACTTGTTCTTAGACAATTCTTTTTTTTTTTATTAGTGATATTTTAGATGACATTCTCTTTTAGATTAATCTTTTTGCCGATGATTGTGTTATTTACAGCGAAATCCCTACCCAATACGAATTCTTAGTGACCTCTTTCTGGAAAAACATGGCAGAGAAAATGGCAAACGACTTTTAATCCTAAGAATTCTGTATCTATAAGTACCACGTGGAAAAAAAAAAAAAAAAAAGCTTTTCACAATTCTCCTATTTCATAAATGGTGCGCCATCGCGAAATGTTAAATCTTTCAAATACCTGGAAGTCGTCATCTGACCTGGTCTGCGATAGAACGACCCCATTGAGTATACCTGGCAACGCGCTTTTCAGAAACTCGGCTTTCTAGGACGGTCCCTGGAGTGCTCCACTCCCTCAGCAAATTTGCTTGCTTATAAGCCGTACGCAAGACCTATTCTTGAATATGCAGCTGTAGTTTTGGATCCCCACTCTAAAAAGAAAAATAAGAATAAATTTGAGAAAACACAAAGAGAGGTTGTTCGGTGTATTTGTAACTTTTACAGTTGGGCTATATCTCCCAGCCAGCTCTTCCAGAATGCCTACCTTGAGTTTCTGGACTCTAGACGTCTGCGAATATTTCATTTCACCAGTTATTTTTTCCGCGAAACATTCGAGGATGAAATTCCTTGACGGATGACGTTGTCGCGAGTGCGTCTTTGTTTTTAGTCTTATCTAGGATACCCATTTCTGAAATTCTAATATTTGAAATATCCTTTTTTTATTTTCCACCCTCAAAATGCTTTGTGGTGCACTTTGTTTGGTATATAAATGCTCCATTTCGCGCTACTTGTACTGAGCCTTTCAGGATCGGTTTCTCTTGGTGCGGCAGTGTGTTGCAATTGCTCGTTTCTTGTACAGGACTTATGGTGGCTACTGTCAAATCTACACGGCTTCTATACCACCTCTTACCACCCCATTACCGAATAAGTTTCCCGGTCGGTCGATTTTTGCAACCCAGTTCTGCAAGCTCATGCACCCCGAGACTAAAGGCATCTGGGCCTATACGGTAAGAGACAGACCTCGTACAGTCTGTATTATTTACGAATTCTAAAGACGTAGTACCTTCCCTGTACTGAAATTGACACCGATTCCGGGCTCACTTGATGCTACAGTCGGTTGGAGACGATCAGGCCGCGCAAGAAATCATTCTTCAGGGGTCTCGTCGTCTTTCTGCGTCTGCAGTTACCGGCTAAGCCAGTCACGCGCCGATAAAGCGTAGGACGACGGAACATTCACTCTGCGCGATTGGTTTCGCCGGTGAGAGAGCAAACGCTCGAGGACGACGAGCGACTTGACGATGCATTTCTGACGCTGCTTGATAGTGGCCCTAAGGGAAGAAGGGCCGAGGGGGAGCGGTCAACCTCTCCTCCTAAATTACTCCTTTTTTTTTTTGTTCGCTCGAAAAATAATTGCCAACATCATAGGTCCTGTTTACTGAGCCAGCGAGTATTGGCAGCGATCAGCGTTCGGTTCCTACACTAACACTCATCATACACATCATACACCATCCCTTTCGCTGGAGGTTTGAAAACCCCTAGTGCTGGTTGAATACGGACCTAATTTTAATCAACTCATGGGGTGCGTATGTATTGCGAAGTGTGTGTATGTATCACAGAAGAGATACACACACACACAGACGCACGCGCGTGGGGACGTTGTTTGGGAATTCGGAAAGTGGCGTCTTGACCTCGACGAAGAATAAGGAGACTTTCGACGATACATCATACACGCTGCCCGAAATATTTTGAAGTTCTGGACTTTCTCAGGTAGCGCGTCAGCCGTCGCTATAAGATTGTTATGAGTTTCTCAAATTAGAGGGCTGTATTGCTCGAATGAGGGACACCTTGCCGTCTACCGCAAACGCGGGCTTTCCTTGGTCACGAATGCAGGATATCCCTTTGTTTTGATCACATCATAAGACCGCGTCAAGGGGCATCATGGTTTAGGATGTCTATTTCGTTTCGTCTACGCTCGCGTTGTCAGACAGAGTAACCTTATGTTTTGATAGACAAGCATGTCAAAATAGTTTATGAAATGTCATTTGCTTTAAACCCACGAGAAAAAAAGGAAAGCTCAGGCATCATCACATCGAAATTGAACGGAGTTATGTGAGTTGAAATGTAATGCCCTTTGGGATGGCTATCTTTCTGAGTTCTGGCGACAAGCATGCGACCTTAAGAGTTTCAAGTGGAAAACTGAGCGGGTTTTCAGATATGCAGATATGTCATCGGGGGCCTTCTGGACACTCACAACAAAGCGTTATTTGACAGTTCGAGTTCACGGGCACATCACGGCACTCGCCCAGTAGATTAAGCGGAGACGTTTTTGTTAAGTAACATGGCGTTGCCTACCGACACACACGTAAGTCGTTCCCAGAAGTCATCAAACGGATCGTCTATTATTTTGAGGGAAACAACATTCTGCTGGGATAAGCCCTACCCGTTGGGAAGGAGCCTCGGAGGTGGGGGTGAGGGGGTGTAGAGGGCAAACATAGTTAATGCTCTCGCGGAGGTGATAATGATTGTCGGTGCTACTGGCTGCCTCATTGTGGGATCTCGAGTTTGGTGGCTCATTATTCCCCGCTCCCCTCCCCGCCCCCCTATGGGTTAATTCGTTCGGTTGGGGTCGGTCACGATACCTCTTCTTGAATCGATGTCAGCTGGGAAGCTGACGATGGGGATGTGCAAGAGTTTTAGGTCTATTTGTGTTTGTGCGTGTGGTGGTAAAAAAATATGGATGCAGAGCGTGAGCGTTTTCGGTAGTGCAACTCTGCAATTCTTGGCAACCAATCCTGGTGCACGAATTTCCCACATTGGGACAAGAGAAAGGAGATCCTTTAAAGTTAGCAGATTCACTCGGGAATGCGTGTTCTTCTAAATATAATCTCACAGGTCGACACAGTGAATATGGTGTAAATGAGCATTATTTCTTCGAGAGACGCTTGAAACCTGACGTCCTGCCGCAGTTCGATTCCTTGCGTAGCCCAAGCCGCCCATCCCCCACCACAGACAACCACTAGGTTCGAAGCTCCAAACAAAACATCAAGACTGAGCACATTGCGGGTGGACGGCAGCTCTTCGCAAATAATAATGGGAAGTAATATTTTTCTAATTTCAAAGAAAAAACAACAAGGAATAGCTACGTGTATTGCAAGCTACCGTACAATATAAGTAGGGAGATAAATTTCAAGAACAGTCCAATGTGTATTTTCAGGTGGCAGATTCGTCTGGCCAAAGAAGCAAGCGTTTAATAATTTACCTTTTCCTCCTACCACCGAGGAAAGAAGGCTCAACAACCAGCGCAGATACGTTGCCAACAGTGTCGGGTTCTTCATTGACGAGTGCCCTGTTTGTGTCACGCGTAGCATCGTCGTCTTAACACCTTTCGTCTCCGAGGGCTATCAGCTCTTCTGAAAAGGATGTGGCAGAGATGTCCAACTGATTGAGCGGATACGAACATGTGTGGCACAAACATGTGGAAACATATGCACGAAAAATATCAACTTTACAACACTGAACTAAGCGTTAAACAAGACTTGGGTACTAAAAAGTGCCTGTCACTTTGCAGGCGGAAGATTCATCTGGCTGAAGAAATGAGCGCTCGAGAATCGAACTTGTTTCGGTACCTATTAACAAAGAACCTCCAGCTTCGTCGAGTTCGTTGGCGACGTCAGTTGCATCTTCTCTGTTTTTTCATCCACCCTGAGCCATTGTGCCTCAAGCGACTCCGCGTGGGTGCCCTCTGTCGCAGCTTCACCGCCATTTTCCCTTTCTCCACGCAGATCTATCTTCTGTCAGCGACGGGGCGAATGAAGGAACTGTGTTAATCTACCATTCGTATGAGTACATTTGATGTAGATTATTTTGCTGGCCAAGGCAGATTAGGAGACTTTAGGCTTCCCAATTACTGGAAAACCACTGACAAGCGTCAAAGGGCTATGTTTAGCCCTCGTCGCAGCATAAGAAGAGAGGAAAAGCCGAGAATCGTTTCTTCACGGAAGAACACTTGTCGAAATATCACTGGCTGGTTCTCTAACGGAAAGAGAGTACTTTCCTGCAAGTACTGTCTATTCTTTGTAGTTGGAAGTGTTGTAGGGTATTAGTAAAGCGTTTCATTGGATAATCTCATTACACAACCTCTCACTTGTTTCGCGGAGCTGCTCGGAAAAGATTTGGCTCTAGAGCTGCATAACAACAACAACAAATAGTACCGGGACGTCGTCAAATTTGGAAAAAATTCCTCGCACTCATCCACTCTTCGCCAAAAGACGTAACTAGTCAACTGAAGACTCACAGACTGTAGAAGATTGCTGAAAATCATAAACGAAGAGGCCGTACTACTGAGTGAATCATCTTTCTCGGCGGACAAAACATACCACTGCGTAAACAAAAAGACTTTGTCGCCCTCGATCAGAATTAACACGCTTAAGTAGCTGAGCAGGTCTAAGCAAGAGAACTTCCGGCATTTGCGGCGTTTCCTTGTTAAATCCGTAGTGAAGGCCATTCAAAACCGCCTAGAAAAATCGTCTTCGAGAGCTACTTTTGCTAGCTAGTCGCTTCAAAACTTAATTGATCGCATACTGCGATGAAGAAGTTCTTGCTCAAATTTAAAAGATTTTAATCAGCGCTAAATACTCCAGCATTATTTTCGACAAAAATACCGACATCCAACATGTGTCCTAGATGAGCCTTGTTTCAAGCTAATTCGACAAATCTCGAGTTGGAACTCACGCCGTAAGAGGAGACTTCACAAGATTTTAGACTGTCTCCCTTCCATTTCCGAAGGCGACTTGTGGGAAACGAAGATGGAGGCTGCAACTCGGCATAGGAGCCGTCGTTGATAATGAAGTTCTGGCGGAAAATTGTAAAAAAAAGTAATCACTCGATGGAATTGCTTCGTGTGCATTGCGTTGACATCGGAACAGATGGCTGCATTGTTATGATTTCTGAAACATGTGGGGCAGTCTAAGAAATTCAAAAAGAATCTGCTCATGCCGTGAGTTGTATCTGCTTAAGCCATGCTATGAATTTTCCCCTTTCAAAACCATCCTCTGCACCGAAGTTGCGCAATTTCATGGGTATTGTTACGACAACTACGTCTTTCTTCAGGTCGTCGTCAAAACAAAATGCAGCGCCTCTACAGGTCCCAAAATGTCAACGGCCGGTGCTTTATAGATCCCGACGAGTAGAGCGGGACAGTGCCGTGCAAAAATTCACATCTTTCTTGGCGGATATTCTTGAAGTAGCGGACACTATTGCGAACTAGAAGAGTGGCCTGGTGAAGGTTTTCAACCACTGTTCGGTGGTTCGAAACCCTCACCAGGCCATGGAACTAGGATATGCAGAATCCTACGAGCTGAGTATCAAAGACAGATACGGCTGTACAAGGATTGCCTGTATCTTCGGCTACTTGATGGAGCTGATTCGTGTGGCAGAGGGGCAAGGTGGCGGGAGTTCTCCCGCACAATCGACCGAACTGTTGAATTCTTGTGGCGTCAAACCTTGATGCACCTTCGAGCCAGCATCCCAAAGACGACGGCGGCTGCGGGAAACCTGGTTCACAAGTTGGGGGACTTTGAACTACCAGTGAAAGTGGAACAAGTTCTGAGCCAAGGCCCGAAGTTTGGAGTCGAACCAAGAAAATCGCCTCCCGAGCTGCTAACGATGGTGAGACAAGTTTCGGGACGAGCTCTGGAGTCTGAAGTTGACAGATGTATATCTGAGGGCGTGGACGTGTTGTTACATTGCAAACCCTCGGGGTCCAAGGTTCCGCTAAAAACCACTGTCGCCTACTTAAAAGAAAATTCCCTGTCTTTATTACCAGCAGATAAAGATGGAGGCTTCGCAGTGGTGCCTAAGGGGATGTTTATGTCTAAACCGTCAGACGGCATAACGGCCACGTTTAAGCGCAGGGATGACGTGTCACTTTCGAAGGTGAAAACTGAAGCACGTAGGCTTTGGAAACGCCTAAGTCTAGATAAACTGGGCCAAGCGATCCATCAGGGCA